TAGATTAAATAAAGTCTATCTATAACATTTTAAATCTGTGTATGAGTTAGATTTTAATCAATGCTATCTAAGTAGGTACCTATTATAATTCACGTAATTATTTCAAAACGACTTAACAACCTATTCACAAATACACACACCCATAAAATATGTAAACTAATATAATCGTACACATTGGTGATCGCCTTTTAAAATTCATTATATTAATATTATATTATATATACATTATATATTTTAATATAATATATTTATTGTAACTTAACCTACGCATAATACGTGTGTTACACAATGTTATGCATTGTAACTTAACAATAGGTCTCATCAACGGATCAAATACCGCTGAAAAAATGCGACCTATAATTATTTCGCATCATCGTGAGTTTTAGTCTTCTTATTCTAAACGAGGTTAACTTGTAAATTAAGCAATATCAATCATTTACTGACACTCCTTTGTTATGATCGATGGGTATTACTGGAAGCATGCCAGAATGCAGAAATATGGTCACGTTAAGAAAAAAAAAAAAAATTGTAGGTACCTATATGTGTTTGTACATTGTTATGTATTTTATTTTCAGCTTATCAAATGTCTATTTCAAAAATCTAAGCTCCGTCACTCGCGTATTCAATTTAACGATTAAATTTCAAAAATAATCTCTACGAAATGATGCCAAGATATTATTTTTATATTTTTATCGTATCCATAAAAAAAAAWTTATGAATCCGTCGAATATTAAAGTTAATTAACTACCCGAAAATGTGTCCATACAAGAATCACTATCATAAAAACAAAAGGTTATACAGGTACCTCACGACACTCTGAATCTAAAATAGAAAAAGATAGAAAAGATAAAAAAAATATGAACAATATTGCCTTCCAGACATCTAATAAAAGTCTGATAAATATTTTTTTATTAGATAAAAATAACTCAGCTATTTTATCTGCAATCTTTCTTTGCCTGAAGTAATAATTTTAGAAACATCAATAAAATTATAGAAAGTCATACTACATACAATATTTGCATTTATTTTAAATATATTAAGCTGGTTCTATGTATAGTATATACTAATGTATTTGCATTGTTACTGATTTATACATCTTAATTAATTCTTAATAAACGACATTGTTTACGATTATTATGGGTACTTATAAATATTGGTCAAAATAAAACGTTATTAACAACAACGTGATTGTTGAATAAAAAGTGACTTAACATATTTTTTCAATAATAAAAATATTTCCACCAACATAAACGAAATYAACTTCCTACACATTATTGAATACAAAACTATTCATTTTAAAGTTTAAACTTGATGATATTGTTGTTGAAAACAATTACATCAACAAATGTTTATGACAACTTTGTTTTCAATTTATGTATAATAATAGTATCAAAGTAATTTGTTGCATACAATTATGAACTATAATAAATAAATAATTGGTTACGAACATTAAACATTAAGTAATCAYCATGGAAACCTTAAAAGGAACTTAATATTATTATAAATGAAATAATAATAATAATACAATGGTCACGTTACCGAGGCTTTTTCCTTAAAAAAAAAAATAATAATAATAATAATAATAATAATAATAATATTAATATTAATACAATTGTAAATGCCTACAGATCGTCCAAAGAAAAATGTTTTCCGTATCCGTATTGAATATTATACCGTTTTTGACGTGTTACGTCGTTTCTTTTTCAATAACTTTAGATGAAAGTCCACTATATAACGAAGACTTTCAATCATTACAGAATCACACAGACTATATGGAAACAATGACAGTTGACGAGCATGCCTTTGCCGTAAATACAATCCGAACATTTTTGATTGTAGGATACGTGTTATTGTTGTTTGTCRTAATTTATGTTTGTCAGACAACTTACAAGAATCGACCAAGTAAAAGTATAAGTGATTTATACGTAAACACCAACACAATTATTACGTCGTGATTCACATTTTACATGTTTGATAAAATATATAACCTATAGGTTGATAATAAACCTATGTAAGAAAAAAAACGTATCCATACAAAATGTCAATATTTGTACCTACTATTATTTTTATCCATCGTACCTATATAGCTAATAATTATTACGAAATGTGTACTTTATGCCTTATATAGGTACCTACTTTAGAGGCTTGATATGTTATTTTACCACGTAACAAAACACAGATCATATTTCTTTATTCAAATTATCCATTTTTTAATCTGATAGGTAAATAGCTAAAGGCTCGGCAACCCAGATTACAAAATAAAGTATAGGCCGCATGTAATAGGTTTCATATGATAATAATATGTATATGACATATTATCTATYTATAAATTGATTAATTTCAAGACAAATGAATAATTTGTTTACAGCCCTCTGCGCTGTTTCATCGCATTTGATAATAATACATTATACTCGTATAAGCTACTGGTCCATACTCCATACCATACTGACTTATGAAACATCATATTATGAAACATTATATTCCAGTAGAGTACACAATTTATACCTGCATAAGACAAGTTGCATACTATTATGGAACTACAGAGATAAGTAACTATTATTCATGTTAATCGATCCTTGAAATTAAATCTTATACAATCACCTCAACTCTTTAAATATTAGCATACAATTATCAAGAAAACAACTTTAGACTTACGTATTTTAAAAATGATTATGTCAAATCGTTTTATTCACCATTCTACTACTATATACAAATACAAACAATCAAAGTATTTCCAACATATGTCTTTATGCTAGTGATCTACGATCTACGTTATCAATGTATAATTCAAAAATGTAACAAAATAGAATAGATTTCATGCTCATAATATCAACATAAAATTCAACAGCATACTCCTTYCAAAATTCAGTCAGCATTACATATATGCAACATGTGTTGCGGAACTAGTACYGTCTGTGGCGCTGCGGCCACATAAATCTACTTTCGAACGAAAACATTTAAATCAAATTACGACTTATATCATACTTAATATTGTACATTGAAGAAATTAAGATACCTTTGAATAGCGYTATTTCGTCAAAAAAATCTTTATTTTATCAAAACAATAGTTATTTTAGTTTGATTAGCTAATAATATTTTGTATACCAAAAAGGACAACWGAAACGAGAACTAGTCGAGGAAACCACCCAAAATTAGCTATACGCATGTTGTATGTAATTACGAGGTTCCATGTTCACACCTATGTAGCTATGGATCATTAAAAACGTTACATTATACACTATTATTTACAAGCCGGTTGTCGATCGACCGTTTACGAAAGCATTTTAATAYTATTTCTCTCGTCATTTATTATCAATGATAGACATTAATTTTATTTTTATCTCATGACAAAACATCACAGCTATCATAAAAATCGTAAATGATGAAAATTAATCTAGTTTTTTTCAAGTTTTCAACGACCTAATGTTATTTTTTAAATATAATAATGAAAGAATTTGCTCAACTGGTTTACTAAACTAAAACTCAAGTATGATTAAGTTTATAGCTTAAAAATATATAGAGATCTATTATAATAAGCCGTAAAAAAATCTTCCGAAATTATAAATATTGTTATAGCTAAAGGTGCTTTTATATTGTAAACCACTCAAGTCAGTCAGTAGAGTCAAGCATATGAATACTTTAAGTACATATTTACTGAATATATTAATATGATTTTATTTATAGTTCAAATACCTATAGTAGGTACTTTCAATGTATAGTTAAAAGCTATATATAAAGTATAAACATTAAATAATCGAATCGTTTTTAAATCCCAATTTTTCCGATTTCATAGTAAGATATACGTAATTATTTTATAACGCATCATCCAATTCACAAGTATATGTAATACTTTTTAAACATTTAAAAAAAAATACAATGGAATCTTATACAAAAATATGTCTAAAAAAAAAACCAATACTATGTGCTCTAATTTCTTAAGAATATTAYCAATACATAAAATATTTAAAACATTAGAGGTAACTATAGAAATTACGAAAATAACTCAGTCATGCGCAAAAGTTTTTGTGGTCCACGACTGAGACATAATCAGAACTAATCTGATGATTTGTAGGCGGTACCAGAGTAATTAGTTGCTCAGTCATCGTCTATAAATTAAATGATTCCCAGCACGTTCTCTGGGGTGAAAAGGTGTTTCATAACCCGAAGGGAAAATATATTAGACACCTTATTTTCTTTATGTATAATAACATAATAATATCCAAAACACCGCCGTTGTACACACTAAACAGTACACACGTTAATGTGGGTACAATCCGTTAAATATAGTCTACAAACGATTTGGAAAATACCGACTATGGCTTATAATATGCTCCACGACTCACGAGTTTATATTATAATATTCCAGTTGATTAATAGTCAACGAAATACGACAGTTTCACTAATCACTGAAAAAAACACATACTCGAGGGTGCTTAGTTAATTTTTATGATGGCTGTAGTTGATATTGTGTTATCCTACAGATTTAAATCTAAATTATCTTTCTACTGATTAACTCATAATAATTATATTATAGCTGAAATAACAAATCATAGATGTATRTATCTTAAATAAAATAATTACTTAATGTATTTCATAAATAAAATTAATATAGAACCTCAAATTATACAAATAGCATTATAACTTGACTCTATACTCAAAACTCCAACCTAGAAAATTGGTGATATGAAATTGGTATWATTAATGATATTAATCAGGTATTATTATTATTATCATTCCTCCTCATCCACTTACAACCATTATTCTAATTTTCCCATTATCCATTTATTGAAACTTGCCAATAGGGACAATTATTTTTTGTTATAGAAAATTGTCATKTTAGCCATTATTTCGTATTTTTATTATATAATTAGTCTTACCTTTATCTTACTTAATAAAAGCATGTCACTGTTATTAATGTAAACATATTTTATTTCTCTTGTTATTGTGTTTTTTTTTTTGCAATAAATTATTATCTAACAAATAAATCAATATTCACTCACCTTACATTGTCCTTCTACGCATATGAAAGGTCTTGAGTAATCTGTTCCATTGCAAGATGTGCCATCTATCACCTTTGGTTTTAGGGTGGCATAGAAACGATATCCTATTGCTCTACAGTTCAATGCACATTGATTTGTAGCTAAAACATTAAAACCAAATATATATATAACTGTAAAGTATTTCAATCTTCATAACATAATATAATACTGGTGCCTATTTATATTTAATACCTATGTACTTATAGATGARCATAGAGTTTCGAAAGAGTTGTCAGGAATTGTATTCTTTAATGTACTTTAAATACTAACCTTGATAGTATGCTGACCATGTGTACTTTTGACCGTTAAATAGCTTTTCGTTAAACGACGAGCATTGAGTTTCCCGAAAATCAGTATTATTCGAGCACAGCTGAAAAAAAATTGTTGTTACAGTTTTGCGCATGAGATGTCTGGTAGTTAAATACCTAGTTGAATACAGTACAAACATTTACATWTTATTCAAAAATGTTGGATAACCATTAAAGTAAATTGTATTCTTATTTAAAAAAAGGTACCTAGAATATATATTGAATCCATCAGTAGGTTATACATTTTATATCTACCCAATGAATCGTAATTGTTCCACCGCGGGTCACAACAGCCGTGAGCTATTTTTTTTCGTGTATGTACATATAGATAAGCCCGCCGGCTCTTATTTTTATTTTCAAAAAGCTTTATATCTGCGAATTTAAAACGAAGTAGCGTGCAGTGCTATGAGCTAAATAATAATATAATAATGTTGTTCTACAAGCAGACAGCAGCTGCTGTCTAGGTACACCTATAATATACGTGATTTTGTGGGGAGAATATGAAAAATAGCCGGATAAGATTAAATGTTTCCAGGCAAGCTGAAATATTATTTTATATTCAATGGGTTGCATTCAAAACAACCTAATTGTCAACCACGCATTGTCTCCCGCGAGCACGCATTTTTACATTTCAAGTGTACGCCCTTCTATAAATGCCCGTCTAAAATGACAACCCAGTTAAACACGCGTGTCTGCAGCCTGCTCGTGTGATGAGTGTTTTTTTTTTCAAATAAGATCATTTGTTTATCTTCGCCGCCAACACACRTAATTTATATCAATGCTCTTATTTTTACCGCATGGGATTGCGATTTTTTTTGTATGTGCCACCACTAGTATAAATACGTTTATTCTTCGCGGTGCTAATACGCATTTTTTGTACAATTTAAAATGATTTACGTATATAGRCACATACAATAGTGGAGGTTTACCGCGTGTCCGCGTTCACTTAAAAGTTTGATCACACGTATTGAAACCAACTATATGCATTATTATAATATATTTTAYATATATTGAATATTTATTATCTTTATTATTATTATTATTGTTATTATCTATCTGCTGCCAGTCGTAAATACACGGTCGAGTTTACCACGATCCCCCATATGGTTGTCGGGTACATCGTTTTTGTCGGCATGTGAACCTCTTGTGTTTAAATTTTTCAATTTCACACAAGACGGCTTTTTATTAATACGTATATTATTGAATTTCCTACACTATTGGACGTGATAAAGATTGGCGTGTGTCAAACGTCCAGCAGCAGAGAGGGTTGCATGACGCGTACGACTTATAAAATGCCGTCAAAAGGACCGAATAAGACGGTATTAACCATTAAATTATGACGAACCGCATTATGTATAGTTGAAATGTAGGTACATGTTGTACTGCATGGTGGAGTTACATCAACACCGTGGTATATGTTAAAGATAATATTAATGCGTTTTTTTTTTTTTTTTTTAAGAAAGTCTGTTATGTGTTTCAATGTTCATCGGATGCACCTAAAAAAAGCTGCAAGTAGGTAACTATATATAGCCATATAGGTAGGAGAAAAAGAAAAGAAGAACCATATATTTTATTCGTGTAGTACTGTCACGAAACCCATTCTACGTTAACTATACCTATATTATGGTCATTCATGTTCACTGTGTTCATATTAATTTTTAAAAGGTGAAGTAAATATAAATAGTAATAGTGAATAGTAATAATAACTCATTTTTTAACGTAGGTTCTATGTACAATGTACATAGATCATTATTTAACAAAAAATCAGGCACACCTGGAGTATATTTGCATTAGTACTTAAACATTTAATAACGTATATAAACCAACCCATAAAAAGTACGCGTGTGCCACAGTTTATGTGCAGTTTTTATCAAATTAATTTATATACAAATAAAATAATATTATAAGACAAATTTAGACGATATGTGAATAGAACATAATTAATATTATAGATTATACTATTATAGTGTAGACTCATGTCTAGACGTATATCGTGTTGGATATAGCCGATATAGGCATACAAAGCATTGTACCTTCCTAGTTCTAAATTCTAAATGTCATGTAGTATTTTAAAACCCTTCGTGTTTTCTTTAAACTAGGTGCTTTATTCATGTTTCATATCAATATTAGTTGAGAAAGGGTCATATTTATAACTGACCTTTTATTTTATTTTTCCATAATATTTTATTTAACTCATTTATAAAAAAGGTGTAATATTCTTGATTTTTATTTTTAATAATTTAACATTTCATATATTACATACAAATTATTAAATTATAGCCATAAAAAAATTATAGTTTATTATATTTAGATGTTATACCTTTATGTTTATACTCGTATATCGCAGTACTATATAAATACCATGCATATATATTTGTATGTACCTATAATGTACTATGTACGGTTAGCACTTGATAGATTGAAATAAAAAACAATAATTTTTTATTAAATYGGATAATGATAAATTGAATTATAAGCCGAAATAGCTGAAYTATTATCTCTGCGTTACATTAACATTGGTGTCATCAACGATTCAGAAGATGTTTTGGCACCCTGACTGGATCTGTCGTTTTTGTGTTATAGGTATATACACGAATAGAGCATATATAATTCAACAATGTCCAGTCATTCCGACCAATATCTTAAGCTCATATTTTTCTTTTCCAGTGATTAAAGCCCTCCTACTGTTTCACCTCGGGTCAATWTAAACACACGAAAATATTTTGATTTATTGTGTTGCCCGTGTGGATGTACCGAACGTGTTTATTACACGAGACAAATACTTTATTGATACGGACGATACGGTAACAAGCCGGTGGTGATTGTAAAGGTTATCGAGATACTTATTGAAAGTCAACAGCCACATTGCATTGTTACCATATAATTATTTGTAAATATATTATACTCGCATTTTTTCGCCTCTCCGATAATTACAATCAACCGTAGGAACCATAACTCCGTACACAAGATCGCCGCCGCATCATGAAGCACCCAGTTATTAATTTAATAAGGAAGATAAGGACTTGGATATAAATATTATTATATGATTGACCGCTTTCGGCTCACCTGTTTATTACAAACGTGGTATCTAGTTTCCTCTGTTTGCCCTCTGCATTTGTTATCCGCGTCAGACACTCGTTTCAAACGGTGTCTCTTGTAAAAAACATTCCTATATGAATTGAACAAAAAAAAAAATAATAACACAAAATATATAAGCAAAATTAATAATATGAATTTTTTTTTTTTAATCGATAGTTTCAGAAATTGTAAGCAAAATAAAATCATAAGTAGAACAATAAAATAAATATTATTATTAGTAGAAAATCTTTTAACCTAAACSTTAAAACTTTRTAGCGCAAAAAATACAAAAATAATTGTATATTAATTATAAATATGTATATTGTTCATGAATACAATTGAATGGATTGTACCTATTACCTAAAAATATTTTTTTAGCTATACAACACTAAATTAAATTTACATTAGCGTTTTGTCTACAACTTAAAATATATGAAAACCAACAAATAATATGCAAATATGTCATATGTGTGCTACTYGTTCAAATGGACACTATTAAGTTTTTAAGTGCAAAATATAAAATAAATAATGAAAAGAATGTAATTTAAAATAAGTAACCAAAAAATTACCATTGGTTAAAAATATAACAAAAAATCTGTTAACTTACATTAACTGTTGTCATTAGATTTTTGAAAAAAACATATTAAAGACATTTAATAAAGCGCTATATATTTTTGAAACAATGTTTTGATTTTTTWAAAGTATTAAATGTAAGACTTCTTTAAACTTGAAAAAAAACATTTACAAAAAAATATTTTGGAAAAAAATCACTGAAAGTGTTTTTGCTAAATGTAATATGTGTTAAGCACCACAAGTCACAACTTTCGAACATCTCCTAAACTGCGCCTGTATATAACATTAYATCGAAAGAATACAGAAAATACTATATTGAATCGAGTTCCGAGYTCGATTTAAATAAAAAAATATATATTGTGACATGACGTTGGCGCCTGACAGACAAGATCTCTTTGGCTTACAAAATATACTATATAACAGAATGCATTAACGGATTGACTCGGGGTGCATATGAATTAAAAAAGAACTTCTTAAACTTATACAGTAGTTGTTGTGTGTTGTATTAAATGTTTGAAAAAGTTATTTTGATTTTTCCCAGCCATTATTATATTGTGTTACATTCGTATGTGATTTAAACATTAAAAAACTAATTTAAAATTTTTTGGGGAGTGTATTTTTTTATATTTTCTCTTTAATAACAATATCACTGAGCTACTCTAGAAGGTCAATACTCGGATAACGCCGACCGGTCGGTTGTGGAATCACTTTTTTAAGTGGCCGCCGTATTAAAACGTAAAATCGTATGGTTTTACACTACGAAAATAGAACCAAAAGAAAAAAACAATAAGGCGGGCTTTATAAGTATTACCCGTCATAATATAGGCATAAATAGGGTGTATCACGTGATGTGGTATACACGCGTATTAATGACAGTAATGTTGGGTTCCAGGCAATAGTTTATTATTTGGACCAGCACCTAAACGATCAATTAAGGAGGTGGATCGCCATGTTATTACAATCTAAATGCCATATAAAGTGCTGGAAAAAAATGTAAACATAAAGTAAAATTAGTATAGACGACATTCAATGACCTATGTACTTATCTGTACGTCTTGTAAACATTAAAACACCTTTAAAATTACGATAACATATTATGCTAACAATCGTATTATATATAGATTATATGTGTATAAAGATATGTATCATGTGTATACTAAGTCCACTGACACGAAATGACCACTAACTATATTTTATATCCACCCCCTTCTATTTATCCACCCATTTATAATTGGTAATAATATAGATTGAATATTATTAGATTCATTATGAAATAAAGTATATGATTACAACATTTACAACAATGTTCAAATATGCCGCATTCTATCAGTTAGGTTCAATTTAGTGCTGTTATTGAAATTATCATAATATTCAACCCGAATCAAAAAAATAATTAGGTATACATAATATATATTTATATTTTACAGTATATATATAATATATATCTACATTTTATATTAATTACTCCTAAATTATGTGTATTACATGTAGGGCCCGGATTATTATGATTTTAAAACCATACAATTATGCTCTAAAAAATAGACAAAAATGTCCTTAAAAATGCATTTTACCTCAAAAATAACCTTAAAAAGGCGGGTAAGTCGTGAATGTCGCTCTACTGTACAGTAGGTTACAAGTGGGTTACTGTAATGGATGGAATTAAATTTGAATCCAATGATATTATATCATTGTATACGAAAAA